GATAACTTCACGCACCTGCATTGATATCTCCTTGGGGAGATAGGACAGGAGCTTGCTATACTTCGCGTAGTCCGAAGTGATTCTATGGTTATAAAACTCAGCCTCAAGAAGAGTGAACCACAAAAGAGGATCCATGTCCCAGATAGGTGGCACAGAGAGAGAGATAAAACGCTAAGCAGAGACTCTACTTTATGGTCTAAAGATTCCATGGTTAAAAATGACGCAAAATGTAGGCTACCGTAAGCAAAAATAAACAGCAAAATATGAAAAATATATGGAACGAGCTCATCGGAGAAAACTTCGAAATATCCGGCGCTGAGATTGTTCCAATGTCGGGGTCACCAATTTAGAGGGCCTCCTGTACCGGGAGCCCAGAGAGCGATTCGAGAAGGCGGATCGAGTTGCAGGGAAACTTTTATTGGTACGGTAAAAGATTCCCTGTTATCTGGCTGTAAAAGAATGACACAGTGGACGCTCTAGCTAGGGGAACGGAGCAAGCACAGCACACAGGGCAGTCGCGAGTTGCAACCGAAGCGAGCGCCAAGCAAAAAATGGCGATGAGTAAGTCAAGCATTCGAACGCAGCAATCAGTTCAAAAAACACACCGGCTGCCTAGGTGTACAATGAAATAATTTTAGTTAAAAAGTTTACACAGGCAAGCCGGGGAATCTCCAGACTGCTATAACCTATGTGGGGGTAAAATTCTCCCTGATCAGTATATTCCCAAAGTTGCCATGTTGTTTGAGGAGAAAGCTGGCGGCTTGAAGAGTTTCGCAAACTAAGGACCTGCAAAGCGAAGCATGCTGGGCGGTGAATCTTTCTTAGGCGGTTAGCTGCACAGCAGTCTAACGTCAAACTGCAGACCTTTAGGACCTTACGCAGCACATTGTCAGGTGGAAACCGATCTGGGGCATTGAATGGTATGGCAGGATTAGAGCGACACACGCGCCGGTTGGTTGCTGGTACAATTACGTTTAACAGCCTGCCAGCCTGGTTCAGATCAGATGACTTTGCAGGTGTACTAGGGGCACTACCTTAATGAGTCTCATTTATCTTCATTATGTTGCTTTTAAGCAAACTCACTTGATATTCAACTAAACAAATATACATAAATAAAAAACTATATTGTTCTCGATAAAGCGAGGCACGCCATTTGGCTATGCTCATCATAATGCAAGCTTGTGCATGATAGCGTGCTTAGCCGGACCAAGCGCGGGAGTAGTACAGATGTAATCAGTAGTGTAAACCCACACGGCTCAAAGATTGAATGACGTCTACCCTCATAGAATGTGAGATCTAGATAAGAATTAGATCAATGAAGTGAAGTATGTTGGTGAGGAACTAGTCCAATGATGTTGTGTACATGGTGCAGGTCAGATGAGTGGAGCTTTGGGAATAAGCTGCAAAAACATTGCAAGTATAGTAGCATGTCCTTGATCAAATATGTAGGCGCAGTAGTAGTTGTGTGCGACCAGATATAGGCAAAGAATAGGTAAAATGTGGTATTGGTCAACTTACCAATGCGTGGTCGATGCAGTGACTTTATGGAGTGGCGAGTCAAATCCGCTATTTTTGCAAAGTTGTTAAAAAGACATTTGTGGCTTTAGATAAGGAGACGTCTTGCTAGACAAAAACGCACCATGTTCTGGAACACGACCGATCCGTGATATATCATTGACAAGGTTGCATCTGGCCGATCGTCCTCGGGGTTATTTACAGCAAGGTTTCGCCAGTTTGTTTCCTATGGTTATGTGGGTGTCTTCTTCTGAAGCAACCGCAGGTGATTAGAGTTACTGAAGTCGGACGACACGATTATTTTTCCCGGTTTCTTTTAGGTTGTCAGGATTTTGAAGTGCGGAAGATTTCACTGTTCTGCGTTGATTCCGTGGCCAGGTGAGCGTTACTGTTATGTGCTCAAATGTGTTTCGTGCAGATACTAATAAAAATGGACTGAGCAAGCTGCCAAGGAAATTGAATAAGACTAGGTTAATATATAAATACAAAGCTTTTGGTAAGCTTGTAGTGGGTAAAAGCAAGGAAATGACCGAATATGTTACACTTCATATCTGTTATTTTACATGCAAGTACAAGGCCCGATATTTACTGAATAGGAGGGACAAATTTTGTCCAAACTAGCCTAGCAAATGCAACAGTTGTCCTGTGTGGAAACCGGGCGTATTAGGCTTTGTCAACAGGCGAATGAGTTGAGGAAATTAGAACAACATAGTAAATAGTAAAATATGCGACTAAGATGTAGGTTTAGTGATCGGTCGACATTGGTAGAGCTTATCGTTCAAACATATGTGAGTACCAGTGGATTTGCTTCGCCGGGCTAAAGAATCATGATGAAAATTACGTAGCAATTTCAGTAATCAAAGGTTAGAGAAATGGCTGCGTGCTTATGTGAGACGGTGTGTTAGTTAATTTGCGACCATAATAGAAGGGACTATATACTACAGCTGTAATGAGAATACGGTTACCTAGCCAGCTCTAAAGGGGACATAGAATAGCGGAACAAGAGGCAGCAGCGCTAAAAGATATTAAGTGTTCCACTCCTAGGTGGACTTCTACAGTACAGCATACAAGTCAATTAGACGGCAGGAAAGAGCGATACTGGGAGTCAGATTCATCTTGAGAAAGAAACTGCCCGCTGTTGTACGACGTGGCACGGACTGATAGGAATCAACGTTAAAAACAGGAGCCAGAAGAAAAGGGATTGCATACTACGGCTGCAGCGAGAAAACAGTTTCAGAGCCAGTTCTAACAAGGCCATTATTAGCAGCATATATGTGCAGCGGCTTCAAAAGTTACTAAATGTTCCACATTAAGGTGATCATCCACGGTGAAACCTAAGAGCCAATTAGACGGCCCGATTAATTAATAAACAGGAGCGGCAAAATATTTTAGGCTCAAGCGTGGACTAATAGGCATACAGTATTGAAAACAGGAGGAAAAACAGTCTGCACTATATGTACCAGTTGTAGCGCGAAACCGGTTGCAGCGCCAGCTCTGGAAGTGGCCAGAGATAAGGGTCGCATTGCCAGAAAAAACTAGGTGTTACAATCCAATGTGCTATACAACTAAAAGGTCGGAAGAAAAAAGATACGTACCGGATTAGTCGTAAAGTAGGAACCGCGCGCTATCTAGGGATGTGACATGTGCTAATATGCGTTCAATATTGAAACCAGGAGAGATAATAGACTGGGCTACATACTACAGCTGTGGTGAAAACAGAGGCAGATCCAGATCTACAACGGGTCTGGAGCAGCAGAATAAGCTGAGCGGCAATGTCAAAAGCTACTAAGTGTTCCAATCCGAGGTGGACTTCTGCAGTGAAGGATATAACGCAGATAGACGGTAGAAAAAGAAGGCGGAGGGAGCCGATTGACTGTGAAACAGGAGCCGTTATCTATAAGAATGTAAAGTACGGAATAATGGCCATTCAACGTTAAGAACAGCAAGGAGAATGGAAGGGACTACATACTACAGCTGTAGCGACAAAACGGTTGCAAATTCATCTCTGATAGTGCACAGGAGCACAGGATTAAGCTGTGCAGCAGCGCCAAAAGATATTAAACCTTTCACTCCAAGGCGGACTTCTAAAGTGAAATTTGCATGTCAACTATACGACAGACAGGAGTAAGGGTGCGTTCCAGGTTAATTATGAAACAGGGGTCGCTCGTTTGCTAAAGGTAACATATACTGATGGGCATTCAAGGTTGAAAACTGGAGCGAAAGTACGCGGGACTACGTTATATAGCTGTAGCGAGGAAATGGTTGCGGAACCACCTCGGGAAGGGACGTGGGATAGCCGAATGGTATGGTCTGCATCACCAAAAGCTACTACGTGTTCTACATCAGGTGGGCTACAATAGCGAAAAATGAAGTCAAAACAGACGGTAAAGAATAGTGGTGGTGGGAGCCGGGTTTATTGTGAGCCAGGAGCCGGAAGCTATCGTAAGATGTGGCATAGAGTAGTAGCATAGCAAAGTATGATGTTCTGAATAGGAAAATAATTGAACTCCACCCAAACTAGTCACGACTCGGAATAAGAACACCAGAATTGGAATTCGAATTTCGCGGGTGTGTATTCTACATCAAGAAGATGAAAAGAATAACAATAAACAATCACTGAGTATTGTTTGTAGAATTATCACATCCTCCGCAGCTTGAATGCAACTCCAGGTTTATGTAATTCAGCTGTGGTTTCTATTGCAATCTGGCAGATCTTCTTGGAGGCTGATTTTGCTCAGAATACTCATGACGATCTAAAACTGAATAGACATTAGTATTTTCAGTGCACACTGAATCGAATGACAACTGACCGGAATCCTTGTATCGTATCTGGTCAACATGCCGTCCCTGTACAGAACAATCATCGAGATCCAAAATTCTAACCATGCGGTTTCCAATGTTGTTAACAATGATACCAGATGAGGGACGTAAATCATTGCCTGTGAAATAAGATACTTCAGCAGTCCCCAAGCCAAGCATGTTTGA